AAAAGGACAAATGGATGCTTCATTTTTTGCAATAGCTCGATCACGATCTCGACATTCCTTTATTGAAGGTTTTTTGGATCTAGGGGGGACAAATCCTGGCATGACGACCACTTCGGCAGGTAATCTAAAGATAGCTTATGATTTTTACAAAAAAAAAAAATCATCCTCCAAGGTTCCGGGATTGAGAAGGGAAGATAATATGGCAATAGCCAATTTCCTACAACCCTCGACACAGGAACAGAAGGATAACTTGGACAGATCCTTAAGTCAGGACGAAATATGGACAACACTTCTACAAATGGATGAGGACAAAACTCCAGGAGTAGATGGACTCCCTAAAGAATTTTGAAAAACCATGTGGCCAGTCTTCGCATCAGATCTGATGGATTTTAATGAGTCAATACAAGAATCAGGTAGGATGGGGGAATTCGTAGGTCAAGGCATTCTTACTCTCCTGCATAAAAAAAGAGACAAAACAAACATCAGGAACTACAGACCAATCACGTTGCTTTCTATTGTATATAAAATGTTAGCTAAAGCGCTAGCCAATCGTTTGATTCCAGTAATGGCTGACATCATTCATCCTTCGCAAACGGACTTTATTAAGGGTAGGCATATTCAAGATAATATCTTGCTTATTAATGAGATGGTAAAACTATCTAGACAGTCGAAAAATAATGCAGCTTTCATTTTCATAGATTTTGAAAAAACTTATGACCATGTAGACTGACATTTTTTGGAGGCTTGTTAACAAAAAATGAATTTCGGTCAAAATTTTCGAAAATGGATTCGTATTCTTCATACAAATGCTACAACTAGAATTCAAGTAAATGGTCTTCTTTCTCCAGAAATCAAACTACAAAGGTCGGTAAGGCAAGGAGATCCTCTGGCGCCTTTCCTTTTTGTGATCATAATGGAAGCACTAGGGGCCAATCTAAGGGCTAATTGTAATTTAAAGCAGTTGCGCATCTCAGGCATACCTGAGGAGGCTATCCCAGTTTGTTCTATGTTTGCACATGATCTTACGGTAATGGTGGATGCCACAAATGAAAATATGGTAGAAATTCAAGCCTTGATGGATACATTCTCACAGGTCTCGGATATGGTAGTCAATTGGGGCAACAAAACTCAAGGGTGGTGGATTCACTCCGCTGGGGATAGGCCCCCGGAACATCCTAGAGTAAGATGGTTACCACTTGAAGCTCCAGTTCGTATTCTTGGCGTGTCCCTTACGGCAGTCGGGAAACCCATGTCTCATAATGAATGGGTGTCAAGCCCGACAATTAACAAGATGAATCAATGGAAGAACAAGCACACTTTCATTTTTGGACGAGCACTGATCATCAATAATATTGTTCTGGCATCTATATGGTATAAATTGACACTATGGTCGATAAGTAAAACAAGTACTAAACTCCTACAGAAGCAGGTTACAGCGTTTCTATGGAGGGGGAATCATGAACAGGAGAAGGTATTTCCTAGAGTAGCCTGGCGTTATTTAATTCAACCCAAATCAAAGGGGGGTCTAGAGATTATGGATCCCAATCTGCAGTAACAAGCCCTTGCAATACAACGGATAAAAAAATTAATCTTATCTAATAATAAACCATAGCAGGTAATGACTCTCGAATAGATTCGTAGACTAGCCCTACTCTCAAGCGAGGACATACACCCGCTCTCATGGATTGAAGATCATTTTTGGACAATCCCCAGGGCCAAGGTAGGGGGTAATAAAGAAGGGGAAAGAGAGGAAGCAAGGAGGGATTTGGTCCTAGACAATCTTTGGGTAACTATGATAAGAATATGGAGACGTCTACCATTACCAGATAGACCTTTTCCGACCAGATATGAGGAAATCCTTCGCCAACCAATTTTTGGTAATAGATGGATAACAGACTTAAATGGATGTATTTTTAATAGTTCCTTCCCACCATGGTATCAATGGGTTAAGAAGGGAATTACGCGCATCAAGGACATATGGGATTCAGAGAAGAAAGATTGGAAATCAGGGGAACAATTGAGGCAACATCTCCGTTATACTCATCGTCTCAATACAAGTCTGGACCAAATCATATTCTCTATATCCTTAGCATGGGTCGCAGCCCTCAAAAGAGGACTGGGTGGCAGGGGTCCAGACTAATGGAGATAAGGCATTAGGACAAGTGGTCAATACGACTCAACAGGGAGCTTTCGTGAGCCTGAGCAAAACAAATTGAGAATTTTTTTTTACTCACTCTCCATCAGATCCAGTCTGTTTTTTCCCATCACCACATATGTATCGTATTAGGGTCCTTTTCATCTCCTCAACTAAAGGTTGGAGGGCGTTTCTTCCGGAAACACCAATCCCGGACCTTCCAATTGATCCTGAGGAATGGGTCTGGAAAACCACTAAAAAAGGACAGCCGAGAACATTACAAACACTCTCGGTGAAAGCGGCATATCGTTTAATGAGACCAAGAGTGGATATTTCGGCAATGCTCTGGGAGAGATGGGCCAGGCACCTAAATTTGGATACAAACACAATTAACAATATAAAACTCTTTAAAAATATCAGACAGCGTCCAACTAAATTTTCATCGCTGCAGTGGCAGATTGCTTACCGTTGTCTACCCACAAATGACTGGATTATTGACCATTCTACATTAGAACAGAAGGGCTTAGCCCTACCTTCGTGCAAATCATGTGTTTCAAATTTTCCTACCAAAAAATGTAGGGAAACTATAGAACACATCTTTATGCAATGCACTGGTTCGGTCTTATTATGGAGAAGATGGGACTATGTTTGGAGGGAACTTACTGGGTTGGAGTGGCCTTGGAACCGGAAAGCTATTTTGATAGGTCATTGGGTTCCACAAAATATCACACTTACAACTTTTCAATCAAATCTTTTTGAAATTGGGAGGAAAGCAGTGATTTGGGTTCTATGGTACAAAAGATGTGTGTTAGAAAGGGAAAATGTAATATTAGAAGGATCTGAAATTTCGGATTATATTGTTCAATTTATACAAACGGAAATCAGAGCTCATTGGGAAAAGTTGAGCTTTAAATTATATAAAGCACAAAGAAAAAAGGATATTTAACTTTTAATTCAGGAATTTGTCTTGGACTGGTTGGGGGGTGCAGGAGAGAAGAGTCTGGGAGAAGTGAAGTGGCCAGGGGGAGAAGGGATGGACATCCCTTTTAAAAGGGACTTCCACCTCTGTTTCAAGAACTGGTTTTCATTGCCTCCAGGAGCTTCTCTCAGGGGACCTAGGGACTTTGCAGATTCATTTTCTCCATCACATCTACCATTGGTGGAGATACTGTAATTTAGTAATGTTGGTCGATGTTTGCTGCTTGATAGATCAGGCTAAATCTGACGGTTTTTCAAAGCTGAAGAGACAGATATTTTTCTCGTAGTGTCTTCACATGTTTGTTGTACCTTCCGGGTCCCTCTGGGTCTCGTAAAAAGCGAAACTGGGTAAGGCTCCCAGACTTTGTCTCATCCGGGCAGATTGTGAGGTCCCCGGCCTCGATGAWAWTTGAYTGGAATATCAGCCTTGGGCACTGGGCCCTTWAAAAAAAAAAAAAAAAAAAAAAAAAAAAAAACGTAAGAGAATAGGTGGTCGGAGAAAAGGTGGGGTATGAGTAAGAGGAGAGAGAGAGAGAGAGATATGGAGGATGGGTTAGTAGAGGGAGGGGAGAGAGAGAAGTGATACCTGGCCCTTGGTGTCTCCAAGAGCACAAGGTACACTAAGACCAGGAGGGTCTTGGCCTTCGCTACAGCAGCCAGCTGGAGAAGAGAGGGGGCTGAGATCTTGATCAGCCCCGAGCAGCAGCAGTTCTGCAGATCTGCAGATCTAGGGTCTGTTGTGTGAGCAGACCCTCACCACTGTAGAGCAGCCCCTGAAACAGGGGGTCTTCAAGTGCACAGTAAGCTGCCACGTGGCACTGCAGGTGGCCACGTGCGCAGGCAGCAACAGCCAACCGGGGGGCCCAGGGGGGGGGGGTTTAAGTAGCCAGCACGGCACCTCTTCAACAGGAGTGTGCCATACTGCAGGGACATCTACACTCGTGGCGAGTGTGTTATCAGGGTGCTTAGGCACGCGCATGGCCCAGCAGGCGCCTAAGTTCAAACCCCAACAGAAACAAAAATCCCGGATTTTAATAATGTAAATCCTGGAGCGGGGCGAGCGGGGTGGGGCGGGGCAGCGTGGGCGCATGGCGTGTGCGCGCATGCGGCGGCTGTGGCCTTGTGTCACCTTCTGCAGGCTCGTACTTTTTTTTCCTTCTTTTCGCTGGAAAACACCCGAAAAACAGCGAAAAAAACCGTTGTCGGGTTTTGTTGTTTTCCCAGCTGTACGGGGTGGTGGGTGGGAGCGGGAAACGTTCCCGCTCCAATACCAATGTAGTGGACCCACCAGGTGTGGTGCTCCTCTAGGGATGATGACGGAGATGGAGGATGAGGGAGGAGCGAGACAGCACAGCGCAGCTCCCACGCAAGACTCCAGCGCACGTACTCCAAACTGTGCGAATGTAGAATGCTCTCGAAAACAGACAAAGGCTGAGGTATACCCCAGCGGACTGACGGGACTGGACTGGACTGGCTGGTACCGACAAAGGTACCGGCCTGGACTGGACTGGACTGGCCCCCGAATAGAACACAGGCCTGTGAGAACAGGCCAAGGGGCTGGTCTCACAGGCCAACCAGAGGTCCGCTACACTAGGGATCGAACCCTGGGATCTGCATCAACTATTGCGAACTGGTGAATACCGTTTCACTCCCACCATCCTAAATTCGAGGTCCTCCGAGAATAATTCAATCCAAGGTAGGACCTTTACCTTTCTGCTCTCTCTCGTAGGCTCTAACTATATCGGGAGCTGTTTCTAGAAGTTTTGATCTCGTGAACCAACGGTCATCCTCTGGTTCCTGATATGCAAACCGGACCTTATACTGCTTTTGTGGACGACCTCTACCTCCTGTCCTGAACACATCTTCCCCTACAATGTCGTCAATGTCATATCTTCCGTCCATGTCCGGAGGGATCATGGACCGTCTAGAGGGAAACTGCGGACTTGTGACACACGACAGCAACTTTAACGGGGTCCTTGCGGGGTCTGGCCTCGCTCTGAATGGTGGTTACTGCTTTGGCACCCTCAATGGCGCCTTCACATAACTTCCCCACATTCTCCCTTAACCGCCTGACTTCGGCCCCAACGTGGGTAACCATGTCACGCGCAAACTCTCGAAACCCTGACCGCATAGCACTCAGGGCCACATCGTGACCCCAGTTGGCCTGGCGATCCTCCAGCCAGGCCTCACTCAATACTTCCAGGTACCCCAACATCTTGTCCATTTTGACAGAGACATCTGCCTGCGCCTGCACCTCTTGTCTACAGGCTTTCACCTTTCCCACCTCTGCGGTCAACCGGTTAACTTCCTCCCTCCTCCTCTTCTTTTCCCTCTTCATCCTCAGCTTCCACTCCAACTTCTTCTCTTCCTCTGCCTCTTGCCATTCCAGGGGGTCCTCAATTGTGGCAAGTGCCCTGGCAAACGCCTCCTTCTCATCCTGTGGCACATACAACTGTGCCTCCTCGTCTTCCCCCAACGATAAATTAGCGATCCACTCACTGGTTTTTTTCTCCATCTTTGCATCCGCATTCGTCGTGCCACTACTCTCCCCTTTCTCTTCCCTGTGTCTTCTTTCTTTTGCTTCCTCTGCTGCCGCTTCTTCCTCAGCAGCCTTTTTCTTCTCCTCCATCTCCTCCTCCAGTTTCTTCATCTTCGCCGCCTGCTCCTTTGCGATCGCTTTCATTTTCGCTTGCTTTAGGAGCTCTTTCCTCTCTCTATTCTCTTTTACTAAGGCGGTCATCTGCTCCTGTTGAGCCTGGGTATAGGGGCTAGTGCTCTTTCCACTACGGGTGTCAACCATGGTGATTAGTGCACAACCGGATTAGCGGTTTCAAACCTCACCACTTAGACTCTAACCCCTGACTAACAAACTGACTGACTCAATCTAAAGACTCACAGAATCCAGACAGGGATCCTGTCAACTAGGGTCTCTAGCCTAGACCTATTCTGAGGCTGTCACTACTAGACCTGTTGCTGATCAGGAGGCATTTAAGGAGATCCCCCGTAACTACTTAGGAATTATTTAACGTCACAAACAGGATGACGTGATCAGCAGGTCTCTCAACACTTAGACTGCCTGTTGCGCAGCCCACAACTCAGCCTTTCGGGCCTACCGTGCCACACCGAGCAGCCCGCCGGTCTGTACCGGTCCTTGGGAGGGTTAGGCCTCCGGGACAGTCGAGTCATCCGACACAGTCTTTAGCCCTACTTGGTCCGGCAGGGGTTTGGTCAACGAGGCCCTATCCTTCATCCACAGAGTTCCTACACCTAGACAGAAGAGACTCGATGCAGAAAGAAGAGACAGACAGACTTGACTCAGCAAGTACCACAGGGTGTGTGCACATCCATAGGGCGAGGGATAGGCTGAAGGCTTGGCGAGATTATACCGGCTCCAGATTCGTCAAAATCTTGGTCAACGCCTTGGTCAACGCTCGGTCAACGCCGCGGTCAACCCCCGGTCAACCCCCGGTCAACCCCCGGTCAACTCCGGTCAACGCCCAGTCAACGCCAGTCAACCCTGGTCAACGCCTCCGGTCAACTTCCCGGCTATGGCGGCCGGCTTCACCTTCGTCACCACCCTTCACATTCTTTCTCTTTACCTCGCCTCCTCCTTCTTCACCCTGGCTGTCTCCTTTTTTTTTTTTTCTTTTTTTTTTTTTGATCGTCTCTCTCTTCCTCTCCTCGACTATGGGTTCTCTCTCCCTTCTCAGTCTTTCCCTCTCCTCGACTATGGCTTCTCTCTCCATTCTCAGTCTCTCCCTCTCCTCGACTATGGCTTCTCTCTCCCTTCTGAGTCTCTCCCTCTGTCCACTCTCTCTCGTCACTCTGTGGTTCAAGCTCTGCGGCTATGGCCGCTTCCTTCCTCCTCGTGGGACTGCACGGCGCACTTCACAGGTAGGTGACAACCAAACTTGCTTCGCTCATCTCTCTCTCCCCCTCTCTCTCTCTCTCTCTCCCTTTCTCTCTCTCTCTCCCTTTCTCTCTCTCGGTCTTCTTCTTCGTCGTGCTCTTCTCTGCAGGTGCGCAGTGGCTTCTCCAACCTCCAGGTCCGCTGTGGCGGACTGCTGCTCTCGGTGAACACCTCAGCTATGGCGCATCACTCCCTGCGACACACAACGCGACGCATGGAATAGCGGGTACCAGCTCTGATACCAATGCAATCAGACTCGCTTTCATTCACACTTTACATGTATGCAAACAGTAGCGCAGCAAACTGGCGACATGCGGCCACACAAAACTCAGAGATATGGCAACCCAGGTACGAGTTCACTTCAACTGGCTATGGCGACATAGCGCCCACACAACTCTTTGTTCRCATACACCGGATCACCCTGGATATCCCACACGCATCTCTCTGAACACTTACACACACACACGCTGAACACTAACTACAGCTATGGTGGCTATGGCCACCTCTACCCTATCACTACAGCTAAGCTCCGTCTTCCTGCCCACTTCGTCTCCGGGCGTCACTGCAGACCTCCTTGCACAAGTCGCTGTGGCAGCGCTTCCGCATGACTCATGCAGGAATCAATGAATGGCTGGACGCTGCCTCTTTATTTATACTGCTGCAGCTCRTTGGTCTGGCCCTTTCYCATGCCCGAAGTGCACAMAGTCCCATGCGGTACTTGCTTGACTAGACCAGACTGTCTACGACTGGAACTGCTGACTCAGCACGGGCAGACTCCACCGCTTGCCTCACCACTTGCCCACTTGCCTCAGTCTAAACATAGGCAACTTCGAAAGGTCACTACTAGGACCTTCCAGAAGGCCGTAGATTTGGCCTTTCGTGACTGCAGCAGCTACGACTTGACCCTTCTGGACTGTAGCAGCCACGGCCTTGACCTTTCGGGAAAACTACAGCTACGACTTCTAGACCTGACTAAGACTCCTAGTCGAGAGGTCTACAGATCGAACCCCCGCTACCTATAGACCCTACGACGACCTACCAACTGTTACAAATACACAGGTCACGGGTTCAACTCTAGGGGTCGACACAGATACTGTACACAGGTAAGGTGAAGACTAGGGATCGAACCCTGGGATCTGCATCAGCTATTGCGAACTGGTGAATACCGTTTCACCCCGCAGAATATAACGGGGCTGTGCCTCTTTTACACAAAAAAAAAAAAGAAAAAAGAAAAAAAATACATATCAGAGCTGGAACCCATATGCCACCAGATGACCAGAATAAAACCATTCTGAATTACTTTTAAAAAAAGCAAAAAAAATAAAAATCAGCAAGTTCGGGATAGTTTGATAAGAGCAGGGTGGACAAGGAGAGAACACAGGCAGCGGAAGAACGCAAAAAGAAACCGACGGAATAGAGAGGTTACAAAAACAATTCAGAATCAACAAGGCGGTCGTAGCCCAATTCAAAATCAGGAAGGAATGGCAGTTCATTAAACAAAGGAAATGTTTCTGGTCCAAGCTTCATCCAGGAGCAGGAAGGCGGTGGTAGGAGAACTCTCTGCAGCATGTTCAACGTCCGGGTTTCCACAGTTCAACATCTCTTTCACTACCGCGACCACACTCCATTTCTCCATGCGATATATCAATCTACTAGCCCTGCAACTGAAGGTTAGAGAGCATGAAGGTCTTTTTTCTTTTTAAAGAGCACAAAGATCCTGTTGCAATGACTTGCTGGTTTCTGGTCGTTTGTAGACTCTCTCTTGTCGAGGTTGTACCATCTGTAGGTTAGATTCGTAATTTTGTTTGGCTGAGCGGTAACTGAGAGACCTGCCTGTAAGGCAATTCGTTTGGGACCTATCTGCAAATTTGGGAAAATATAGGCCTCTACTAACTAGAATTCCTATAGCTACCCTAACTGCGAATAGCAGGCCCGGGCTATCCCTAGGACAGAAAGGCCCTAAGGACCTAAGCTGATAGACGATCCTATAGCCTATAGCCGGGTTGGGAGAGGCCCTAGAGGCCGAAACAGAAACGGTACCTGCAATGACTTGCTGGTTTTGACTGCCGTGATTGACTGCGAGGTTGTACAGTGCACTGTTGTGTTTGCTGTGTGTTTGCTGTGTGTTTTGCTGTGTTTTTTTGGGTCGCACTGAGGGCCGCCTGCTGTTCTAAAAATAGGCTGAATTAATAACAGTAGAGGCTGAGTAGTCACCGCCCCTAAGTGGCCTTGAGCCCTAAGTGCAGCGGTAGGACCGATTTCGTAGAGGCCGAGCAGGCCCTAAGTGAAACGGTACCGGTATGTCCTAGGCTAGGGTAGTGTAGAATCTACAAGTAGGTTGAGGGAGGATTGTTCATGCTCGCGAAGCAGCATTTGGAGAAGCCAAGCAAGTTGGCGGTGGTAATTGTCTACAGGCGGCATCCTGAGACCTTTGCCATGGACGGCAGCCATAGCCGGCCTTCTGAAGGTTGTCAGAGCTGGGACATCCTCAGCGCATCTACCCTGGGGGTATCTGCATCTGGCCAGGCTATATCGAGGCTCTTCACTGAGTATTCGTGGGTGGCGGCAGCCATAGCTGCCTGGTTCTTCGTCAGAGTTGTTCATCGGCACTTAAGACTTCAACGCAGGATCTGTTCTTCATTTGGGTGGTTGGCGCTGGCCTTTGGGAGGCTATTTCGGTGTTGCGCTACTAACTGGGTGCAGGGGAGAGAGTGGAGTGTGAGGTTCTGAAAGTGGCGAGATACTGGAACAAACTCTATAACAATATTTGGTTTCAATTGGCTCATCATCAGTGTGATGCCGATTGTCATCCTCGCAGGTTTCTTCTTGTGATTGGTTGTTGGGAGTCTGTCAGAGAGTGAGAAACCCAGGGTGTCTTCTCCCCATCTGTGCATGGTTGAACTTTCGCTGCTTACTCTAATTTGTGTACAGTTTGGACTTTGTCTCCTCTTCCCCTTCTCTTATGCACGTATGGGCGTGTATGAGACTGTCTGTGTGTGAGTCGCGGTAAAAATCGTCAAACAACCAAGTTCATAACAGTTGGTATCAAAGCGGGATTGGAATTGGAGCACTGAGGGTTGAGTGCAACTGGGGCATCTTCTTCATCTGGCGATATACTGGCGAGAGTTTCATGGCGATTCATCTTCTCCAGTACTGAGACAGCAGGGAAGAAGATCTAAAGCGGTGAAATCAGGAGTTCAGTGTTTGCACTGAACAAGCGCACTGAGCATGTCAGGGCGCTTGAAGGGATGTGGCGAGAACAAGGCTAATTCGCCATAGCCAACCCTGAGGGTAGATAGTGAATTGCCTCAGAGTGGCGAATTACCCCTGAGGACTTCAAAATCCTCTGAGTGGCTTCATCCCTGAGCAGCGCTGAGGGAGATTGACAGTCTGTCTCAATCTCAGGTGGAAATAACCTCATCTGAGGCTATTTATAACATCAACGGTTGTGGGGTACTGTGGCGAAATAATCCCTTGTTGGCTTTCCAAGCGCCACAGGGTCAGATTCAGGGAATCTAGCAAAAGGGGTTGCAGCACTTCAGGATCCTGAAGAGGATCAACAAGTTTAAAGAAGTTTTGTGCGTGGAACAGAGAGGAGGAAGTTCTGGAAGAAACTAGCGAGATGAGGGTTTCAGTATGCCATAGCCAGATCTTCACACAGCTTTGCAGAGAACTCTGAAAGTGAGTCCGTTTCATGCGCACACCTGTATAGCGATTCAGACAGGGTTAGAATAATTAGTATTGGTGGTCTGTCTGTCTGTAAGTGACTGGATTTTTAAATCGCAGACTGCATGACAGTCATAGTCATCCCTCTCCTACCTTCCTCTACTCATTTTTTACCCTCTGCTGACTCTTTTCCATCCAAAATTGTCATGCGACTGCTTGACTGTATTGCGCTTGATCTGGGATGTTCAGACTGTGAATTTTGTACTGGAAAAGTACA